TCTACCTGCCTCAGCCTCCCAAATGCTAGGATTATAGGCATGAGCCACAGCGCCCAGCCCCTTCAGGGTGGTTTTGATTTGCATTTCTCTGATGATTAGGATTTTTTCAGGTATTTGTTAGCCATTCATCTGTCTTGTTTAGAGAAGGTTCTGTTCATGTTTCTTGTCCAGTGATATATGGGATTGTTGGGTCTTTTTTTGTTGATGAATTTGAGTTTTCTATAGATTCTAGTTATTAAGCTTTTGTGTGATTTATAATTTGCAAATATCTTTTCCCATTCTGAAGGTTGTCTATTTTGCTTTGGTTATTGTCTCCTTAGCTGTACAGAAGTTATTCAGTTTATTAAGTCCTATTTGTTTATTTTTGTTGTTGCACTTGCCATAGAAGTCTTCATAACATCTTTCCCCAGAAGAAATAAATCATTTAAATACCTTAATACCTTAAAAAAGTGATATCAGCCTAACCTCCTAATATAGTGAGACTGTCTTTTTTTTTTTTTTAAAGTGTTACCACTAATTAAATAAATTTGCATTTAATATTATGCAGGTGAAGGTTACTGTGTGAATCTCAAACAGTATACTCAATAAATTTATCAATATTTGAAAACAATTCACTCTTGTGAAGAAATCTTAACCACTGCTATTTAAATTTTAGCCAGAAATTATATTATATTTAATTATTATATAATTATATTTATAATTATAAATAAATTATAATTATAAAATTATATTTAATTATAATTAATATTGACATTTTTTACTAATAAATTTGAAATATTTTCACTAATACTCTCAAAAATAAGTTGAGTGGTTTTCCTATCATAGGCTGTACATACTTTCTTCAGTTACGTCTTTGTCTTTGTGTAGTGAATATTATACATAAGGAAAATAAGAGAAATTATCTTTTCATGGTTAAGGGTAAACCAAAAGACTTGGAGTCTTATGTTCTTTTAGACCAGTTAATATTAATCAATAGAGGAATGTCTTGTAAGATATAGGTTGACAATAATAAATCCTAAAGCTTATTAATGACTTTATTTTTAAACCATTTTTCTTTTTCTTTGAGACAGCATCTCAAGCTGTTTCTCTGCTGTAGCGTTGTAGCTCACAGCAACCTCAAACTCATGGGCTCAAGTGATTCTCTTGCCTCAGCCTCCCAAGGAGCTGGGACTACAGGTACCTGCCTTAACACCTGGCTATTTTTTTTGTTGTTGTTGTTGCAGTTGTCAGTGTTGTTCTAGTAGGCCCTGGTTCAAACCTGTCAGCTCTGGGGTATGTGGCCAGTGCCCTACCCACTAATGAGCTACAGGTGCCACCAAACCAATTTTCTTATAACAGCACTATCTTACTTCTCCATTCAAATTTTCTGTCTTTAGAGTCCAAGTGATGTGCTTGGACTCTACGACACATTATACTAATGTATGTTAAGTAACATTCATTTACTTACATAATAACATACATAATATTTACTCATTATTTATTTCTGTATTTTTGAGATAGGATCTTGCAGCGTTGCCTGGATTATTAGAGTGCAGTGGCATCATCATAACTCACTACAACCTCAAACTCCTGGGCTCACGTGATCCTCCTGCCTCAGTCTCCTGAGTACCTGGAACTAAAGGTGCATGCCGTCATATCTGAATATTTTTTTACATTATTTGTAGAGGTAGGATCTCACTGTTGCTCAGTCTAGTCTCCAACTTCTAGCTTCAAGCAATCCTCCCTCCTAGCTTCAGCTTTCCAAAGTGCTAGGATTATAGGCATGAGCCACCGTACTCAGGCCTCATTTATTTATTCAAAGATATTCATTAGTGTCTACCTAGTACCAAGTACTGTCCTGTGTGCCTGGGATATATCAGTGAACAAAATGAATAAAAATTATGGGGTTTATATTTTAGAGGGCATGGTTATTTATTTATTTAATTAGTTTATCAATTTTTTTTTCGAGACAAGAGTTTCACTTTGTTGTGCTTGGTAGAGTACCATGGTGTCAAGTGGTTCTCTTGCCTCAGCCTCCCAAGTAGCTAGGAGTATAAGTGCCTGCCACAATACCCAGCTCTTTTTAGAGACAGAATCTCGCTTTCACTCAGGCTAGTCTTGAACTATGAGATCAAATGATCTGCTGGCCTCAGCCTCCCAGAGTAGTAGTATTATAGGCATGAGCCACCGCTCCTGGCAACAGCAGGTGTGATTTAAATCCTAGACATAATGAGTAAACAAGCATTCATTATGGTTTCTAAGTAGGGACAAAATTATGTATCTGTTCAATTAAAGTAAGGAAAATTACATTAAAAACGACTTATTTTTCAACCTGGCTTAGTTTTCTTAAATCCCATTTTTAAATACTGGCTATGAACCATAAAATTATGGGAAACATTCTTTTCAAAAACAGAGGTCAAATGTTAAGAAAATGACTATGTTGCTCCTATGTGCCCATGATAATTTCTTTTTTTTCCATGTGTAATAATCAATCTTGCTGTATAATGTAATAATTTAATGTGTTGGATATTTTTGATAGTGGTTATAAAAATCTGTTTATGTATCTGTAAACTTTTGTTACTATTTGAGTTTTAATTTTGTTGGCTTTAATATTGTAATTTTTATTGCAATTCTAAGCAAAGTGTTATAGCACATTTTTAATTTTTTTTGTTATTTACTTATTCTTTTTTAGAAAGCTGTCTCTGCTTTGGTTGTTTGTCTAAGTTACTTTAGTTATGAAGAGAAATTAAAAACATTTCGATATCTTATGTACAGTTGGTCCTCTATATCTGTGTCTTCTGCATCCATGTATTCAACCCACTGTGGATCAAAAGTATTAGGGAGAAAACAATAACAAATAATATAAATGTAAAAAACAAGAATGTAACAACTGTTTACAGGGCATTGGCATCGTATTAAGTATTGTAAGTAATCTAGAGATAATTTAAAGTCAGAAGGATGTGCATAGGTTATATGCAAATATACCATTTTATATAAAGGACTTGAACATTTGTGGGTTTGATATCTGTAGCATGGGGCGAGGGCAGGAGAATTGCCCTGGAACTCAATCCTCTGCAAATACTGAAAGATAATTTATATCTTAATAGTTTGGAATTGAGTAGGTTATGTTAAAGGTTCAGCATATGGTATAATAGTGTTTTATAGTATTGCATATGTTGTCACAAAAACATTATTAATTTAAATGTTAATACTTAAATTTTTATTGACTTATTAAATTGAATCCATTTCTTTCAGGCTATCAGAATGGGTTAATTTTTTTTATTTGTTTTTTTAAAGCAGGAAACCCTAAATGTCTTTATTGTTTTTATGAAGTGTAACATAGAGCTCACATGATTAAATCTTTTACCTGAAACATTAAGTAGACCTTAATGATTCTTATGTTTTTGGGAATAGGTGGGGGACCTGAGATTAGAAGAGCAGAAATTTGAGAAATAATTTTGAAAAGGGACGGGATAAATATGGAGTCAACAAAATTAGTGTTCCTGATAGATTTAAGAATAGTTACTAAAACAATAGACATAAACTTTTCATTTGGTTTTTATTTTTTTATTTGATTTTCAAACAATTCTCAGTGAGTAAAATTCTTTTGATTCTGTGTTTTGAATTATATTTTTTACCTACAGATTCTCTCTGTGGGGAGAAAATAGTTTGTTCCTGAGGGAATTCTAAGCTCTCTTTTTTTTTTTTTTGACACAGAGTCTCACTCTATTGCCCTGGATAGAGTTCTATGGCTTCATAGCTCACAGCAACCTCAAACTCTTGGGCTCACACAATCATCTGGCCTCAGTGTCCCTAGTAGCTGGGACTAGAGGAACCTGCCAGCATACCTGGTTAATTTTTCTGTTTTTGACAGAGATGAGTTCTCACTTTTGCTCAGGCTGATAACCTGAGCTCAGGTTATCCACTCACCTTGGCCTCTCAAGAGTGCTAGGATTACCGGTGTGAGCCATGGCACTGGCCTGAATTCTAAGCTTGATAGTTGGAGAAATGACAAATGAAACCCATAACCAAGACTAGAAAGGTATGTGCATTTGTAGTTTATGATGCACACTAACTAGATACTAGAATTCTGTTACAATTGTTGATATTTTTAATAAATTTGAGGAAGGAATAATGTGGCCTGACCCATTCAAACCTTTGCTTATGATGGTTGGAGTGGTTGCCCTTTGGTTAATGGCTGTGATAACCTTTGCTTAGCTAATACTGCATGCCAATTTTAGAACTTATCCTTAAACTGACAATTTGCCTGCCACTTGTAGAGTTAAGTGATATAACGTAGCTGATCAATGAGGAGGAGAATGGAGTCAAGAATTTGTAGGAATGAATATACTCAGAGAACATGTTTCTGCTTGAGATAATGAGCATATTATTTCAAAAAATGTAGTTGTACATTTTTATTTTTATTGATTATTCAAAGATACAGCCTTGTAATATCCCTGTAAGAGCTATTGCATAGACATAAAAAGGAGAAGTGGGTTTGGCGCCTGTGGCTCAAGCAGCTAAGGTGCCAGCCACATAGATCAGAGCTGGTAGGTTCAAATCCAGCCCGGGACTGCCAAACAACAATGACAGCTACAACCAAAAAATGGCCGGGGACTGTGGCAGGAGCCTGTAGTCCCAGCTACTTGATAGGCTGAAGGAAGAGAATAACTTGAGCCCAGGAGTTGGAGGTTGCTGTGAGCTGAGATGCCACGGCACTCTACGCATGGCGACAGCTTGAGGCTCTGTCTCAAAAAAAAAAAAAAAAAAGAGGAGAAGTGATGATTGTGGTTAGGGAACTTTTAGGTTTAGAGCTAATCAATCTGTTTTCTGGTAGAGCACTAATGTATGTGGTTAATTTAGTATGCAGACAAGTTTTTATTTGTTATTAAGCAGTTAGGTTATCTTTTAGCCTGTTGGCCAGTCAACACCAAGCTGGTTCCTTTAACTTCATAAATGTCAGTATATGCAATTTTACATGTCTTAAATAACTTAAATACATTTCTTACTCTTTTCCACAGCATGTAGAGTCCATGAAGCACAGGACAGTAAAGCTTCCTACTCATGTCACCAGAAGGATCTCTTTGAAAGATTTGCCACAGTACTATCAGAATAATTTGAAGCTTCATGTGTTCACCAACAGAAGTCTGTTCACCTGGGCACTAACTAGAAACAGCGTTACAATGTTTTCATTTCTTTGAGCTTCAGGAATCCAGGGGAGTGAGTTGAAAATCTGAAAATGCGGCCATGGACTGGTTCCTGGCGTTGGATTATGCTCATTCTTTTTGCCTGGGGGACTTTGCTATTTTATATAGGTGGTCACTTGGTACGAGATAATGACCACCCTGATCACTCTAGCCGAGAACTGTCCAAGATTTTGGCAAAGCTTGAACGCTTAAAACAGCAGAATGAAGACTTGAGGCGAATGGCTGAATCTCTCCGGTAGGTTCTAAGATACTGAAGGGAGAATGATGAAATATTGTACTTCATTTTTTGGTGTAGGGCTTCATTCAGCTATTGAAAAATTTCTGTAAACTGCTTTCTTTGCAGAAGTTTAAATATCCTAGGGTATTTTTTATCTGTATATTAAATATAGAGAATTTCTCCGTAGTGGCGGCATTCTATTGTTACATATGAATTTAAATATAAAAAAACTATGCCATTTAATTTATGTACTTACTTTTTACTCACAATTATCTTCTTCATTTTGACACTTTTGATAAATCTGAACTTTGTATGATTTAAATTAGTGTATGTCATAAATTTTACCATATAAATTATAACAAAGGCAATAATTGGGAGACTGAATAAGTCTAACTATAACTTATTACAACAAAGAAACAGAAATTCATCATTAAGTAAAATAAATGGATATGGCCTGTGGAAAATTACTATCATTGCTACTTCTAGTCTATAAATGTGACATATCTGTTAGAAGGTATCAACTGTTTGACAAACTAAATCCCCTCTTTTCAGAGAGCAAGTAAACATAGTACTACATATTTTTTTCAAAGTGATCAAGTTTGAAAGTTACCTAGTATCTTCTAATTCCTTTACTTTATATTTGCAAATGATCAGATAATTAGTTCTTCCTGTCTCTGAACATAGAGGTTGAGGCTTAAATTGATGACTTGTGAGTCATTACTCTAGATCTGGCAATTGACTCTAAGGGAAATGGTATAGAGATAAAGAGATGAAAGTTCACTTCTTTTTGAAAAACAAATAAATTGAGTAGTGGAAGTAGAAACATCCAATTGTGGGAAGAATAACAGGAGAGGACTATGTTATGGAAACTAAGGAAAGTTCTGTGAGGGAAGAAAATAGTTGGCCGTGTTATTTACTCTTGAAGGGATAGCCTATGGTATGGTTCTGCCATTTCCCACCACCACTGCACTGCCCCCTACTCTTGCCTTAAAACTCAAATATTTCCTTTTGTCTAGTTCTATAATTTTTTTCTTCACTATAATAGTACTTTGTGTCTTTTTATGTCCTATGAAAGACAATGCTAGGTGTTAAGACAAAAATGAATGAAACAGGGCGGCTCCTGTGGCTCAGTGAGTAGGGCACTGGCCCCATATGCTGGGGGTGGTGGGTTTGAACCCGGCCCTGGCCAAACTGCAACAAAAAATAGCTGGGCGTTGTGGCAGGCACCTGTAGTCCCAGCTACTTGGGAGGCTGAGGCAAGAGAATCACCTAAGCCCAAGAGCTGGAGGTCGCTGTGAGCAGTGATGCCACGGCACTCTATCGAGAGTGACAAAGTAACACTCTGTCTCCAAAAAAAAAAAAAAAAAGAATGAATGAAACATTATCCTTGTCATTTGTAGTAGTACCATTCAGCAAGATAGTGAATAGTCAGGCATGGAAAATGGACAGAGAACTTCTTGAATTTGTATATCATTTTATTTCCTGCTAGGAGTAATCAGGGAAAATCACAGAGGAGGTCATTTTTCAGTGGAGTCTATTCATTTATTTTTTATGGGAACCAAAGATTAATAATTTATTGCCATGTGCCAGATACTGTGCCGAGGACTTTTCCTGGATCATTTCACTGAATTCCACAGTATCTTTATGAGATCATAGTACCACTCTCATAACGATTTCACAGATAAAGAATTGTAGGGTTGTTAAGTAGTTTAATTGCCCAGTGTCACTTTTCTCAAGTGATAGAGCCTATCCCAGTAGTTATGACTGTAGTACCTGAGCTCTCAGGAACTGTGTTGCCTCCCTGAGGAGAAAACAGATTACCCCAAAAAACTTAACTGAAAGTCTCGGGGAGGAAATCACCAAGAATAGCTACTACTCTAGTTGGTTTTGGAGTTTGCTTTGATTGTAGTAAAATCTTACTCTATATCGTGGGAAATTTGCTTCTAAAAGATTTTGCATCTTAAAAAATAATCGAGGCTTAGGGTGGCACCTGTGGCTCAAAGGAGTAGGGTGCCGACCCCACATGCCATAGGTAGTGGGTTCAAACCCAGCCCTGGCCAAAAACTGCAAAAAAAATAATGATAATAATAATAATTGAGGTTCATAAATAAATGTGTACTCTTTTTCTAGTTCCATCTTCAATACTATTACCTACCCATTTAATTAATTAATTAATTAATTTGAACCAGAGTCTCACTCTGTCACTGTGGCACTCTGGGTAGAGTGCGGTGGCATCAAAGCTCACAGCAACGTCAAACTCTTGGGCTTGAACAATCCTCTTGCTTCAGCCTCCTTAGTAGCTGGGACTACAGGTGCCTGCCACAACACCCAGTTAGTTTTTCTATTTTGTTTTTTAGTAGAGATGGAGTCTGGCTCTTGCTCAGGCTGATCTCAAATTCCTGAGCCCAAGTGATCTGCCCACCTTCGCCTCCCAGAGTGCTAGGATTACAGATGTGAGCCACTGTCCCTGGCTGTTTGCATTTTAAAATTTCTGACTGCCATGAATCTTGTTTTGGTTGCATGAAGGGAAAGCTTCACTTTAATATGGGCTGTTCCTTCTGGAAAATAATCTTTGGGTCTCTAAAGTTATTTTCTTTATATTCTTAGATGTTGAAATTAAATTTTCAGCTACTCTGTTTAAATATAGAGGTAGCTTTTAAGGGCTGAACAGCTTAATAAGTCATGCTATAATACATGTATCATGTAAGTACAATCCCAAAATACAGACTAAACAAATAAGGTCATTTTTATATAAAGGCATAAAATTTCAGGAAAATAAATAGTTATTTTCCCTAAGTTTCTTCCCTAAGAAGAAACCCTTCTTAGGCCCCTCTATTGACTTTACTGGGGCCATTTGTGTTGCATCCAAAGGGATTTCATTTTAGAACCCTTGATATGAAAGGAAAATATTGGCAATTCTACTAGCACTGGAGTTTTTTTCCTTGTTGTAATTTAAGTAATATTTTGTACTCAATATATTATAATTTTAATTTTGTTTTATTTTTGAGCCTGGGTCTTGCCCTGTTGCCTGGGCTAAAGTGCAGTGTCATCATCATAGTTCACCGTAACCTCCAAATGCTGGGCTCAAGCAATCCTCCTGCATAACTAATTTTTCTGTTGTTTTTTGACATGGAGTCTCACCATGTTGCTCAAGCTGTTTTGAACTGGTGTCAAACTGTCCTGTTGTCTCAGTCTTCCAAAATGCTAAGGTTATAGGAGTGCACCTCCACACCTGGGCTTATACTCAATTTGCTATGTTATTTTCTGATAGGAAAATAGGTTCATAAGTCAGATTATAAAGGATTAATTCAGATGTCTGTAAAACTAGATTTATTTGAGGTAAGATACATGGATTTGAGTTGGAAAGCAACCCAGAAGCCTGAAACTATATTTTTTTTAGATTCAGGACCATAATATTTTTGGCAGAGTAAGGACATGAACCTCACTTTCCCTCTATTACAGTGGTTCTCAATCTGTAAGGCGTGACCCACAGGAACTGTATTAAAGGGCTGTGGCATTAAGGAAGGTTGAGAACCACTGCTCTATTACTACAAAATGTCCTCTGAGCTCTTAGATTGATTTCATTTCACAAATCATGGATGAGTTCATATAAATAATAATGGTAATTAAAGCTTATATTGATAATTTACTATACGGTCAGGCACAATATCGAGTGCTTTAAGGTTTTTAGTTTAACTTATTTGTTTTAGAGATGAGAGGCTTGCTGTGTTCAGGCTGGACTCTTCCTGGGCTCATGTGATTCTCTTTCCTTAGCCTCCTGAGTAACTGAGTCCCTAGGCATATGCCACCGTGCCTGGCTCCAAGTGCTCTTGTAGTCCTTACAAGTCCTTAAGATAGGAATTACTATCCCTGTTTTATAGATTAGAAAATTATGAGTGATTAGAACAATAATTTTAAAAGCAGTTAATCAAAGTTCTGGCTACATTTTGCTAATTTTTGTTGATAATATTACAGATTTAGGAAAATAATTTTAAAATTATTTCTTTGAGGAGTGCAGATGTACAAGCACCATGTATGGGAGGGGAGATTGCTCTGTGTATGTGTGTAAATCTGACTTAGTGATAAATAATTGCCATATAATAAAATTCACTATTTTTAGCCTAGAGATCTATGAGTTTTGGCAAATACTGTGTGTAATCATCACCACAATCAAATTACGGAAGAATTTTACTTCCTTCCAAAGTTCTGTTTTTCCCTCTTATAGTCAAATTGTGTCCCCAGTCTCCTGACCCTGGCACCTACTGTAAGGTGACCAGATTTTAACATTGGTAAAGCGGGACACCACTGACCGGGGGCGGGGTGGTGGTGGGAAGGGTTTTTAATTAAAAATTTGGTCTACATGGAGCAACAAAAATTTTCATAGAACACAAAAATAGTATTGTAATATATATTTTTTAATTTCAACATAAGTACAATTTACAAATATAATACAATAAAAATTATGTATAGTATTATTTTATTCTTTGGCATATTTCTCATTTGAGTGAATTTTTTTTAGTAGATTGCTGTTGTTTAAAATTTTTCACAAGAATTTGTTAAATTATATTTCACACATAAAATGGCTTTCAAAGTCTCAACACTTAATTGTGATTTTTCTAATGTCCACACTTTATTTACCATAGAAAAAACGCATTCAGTTGCAGCATTAGTTCCTCATAAGGACAGCGTGTATCCCATGATTTTTAGTGCATTATTGTATGGAACATGGTTTGTTTCAAAATGATGAAATATTTCTAACCATTTGTTTTCTGTTGTGATTTTTGCTGATGCCCAAGATTTAACCTTTTCCTTATCATTATATTTTTTTAATAATGATACCTCATAAGTCGTGTCACTTTCAAGGCTGGGGCTAGACTTTTTGCTGCCACTATAAAATATAAATAATATGAGTACTGTCTGCTAAATTCATGAAATAAATAAATTACTTACCTAAATTATCTGAATAGCTGATGTGTTGACATCACTTGTTTAACTAGCACTAGCATGCAGTATGATGT